GCTGCCACCCACCTGCCAGTGGGAGGTCCCAGGGCTCTGCTGCCAGCGTCTGATGCTTGGCTGGAGCCTGGGGCCTGAGCTGTGGGGCTGAAGGACACTATCCCTTTTACTTCCCACAGCTCAGTGGCACCATTTTCCAGCTCCGGAGCAGCTATTAGTGCCCTGACCCATGTCTGCACGAGCGGTCCGCCCCGCCTCAGGCTGCTCCCAGCTGCCACACTGCCACATATCCCTTGCCCTCTGTTTATTGCGACCCTTCTGGTGGGCAAAGGTGCTGCATCCTCCTTCTGGGGTCCCATTCTGCTCCCAGCCTCATGCCTGGGGAGCCTAAGCTGGAGTCATTTCTTGGAAGGTTTAGCAAAACCTCCCTGGGGAGTGAAATTAGCTTTTGTGAATATACTGTGGAGAAGGTGCACCTCTCATTCCAAAGCAGCTCCTTGTTCCTCGTTGCTGCCCCATTTTATTCATAGCTGCAGGCCTGCTGGCCAGCGTGAGCTTTCCTGAGGGAGATGAGAGCCACTTCCTCCTGCCCCTGACATGGGCACCCCACCGCAGTCTCCCGGCTGGCCCCTCTTACAATGGAAACAGTCCAGGTTGTTGGAGCAAGAGCATGACGGTGGGAGAGCCCAGGCCACTGTCCAGCCCAGGGTCAGGTAGTGCCCAGGACCCTCCAGACCCCAGTGGGCCTGCCTTACTCCACAGACAGCGCTTGGGCTGAAATGAGAAGAAATAAATGGGCTGGTTGTCATGATGGCCGATTTTAATTTCAGCCTGCCTGGGCCAAGGGGTGCTGACATTTGGCTAACCATTGTATCTGAGTGTTTCTGGAAGAGTTTAGCATTTGAATCTGTAGACTGAGTGAAGGAGCTGGTCCTCCGGTGCGGGTGGGTGTCATCCAGTCGGAGGAGGGCCTGAATAGAACAAAAAGGCAGAGGAGGGAAGAATTTACTGACTGTGTGGGCAGGAACTTGGTCTCCTCAACGAGGACTGAGACTTCCATCCTCATCTCCCCTGATTCTCAGCCCTTCGGGCCTGGACTAGAATTAGTGGGTGTCTGGTGTGCAGATGGGGATCGTGGGACTTCTCAGCCTCTGTAATCACATGAGCCAATTCCTTATAAAACATCTAAATATATATGACCAGTAGGGATATGTGTATCTCCTATTGGTTCTGTTTTTGTTTGCATTGTAGAACTTCTCAGTTTGGCTTGGGGAACTACAGGTGAGCTGCATCTGGGAGTCTTGAGGCCTGAGGCAGAGGCCAGAGAGGGAGGGTAGGAGGCTGGGAGCTGAGTTGGAGGGAAGCAGTTAACACACATCACGGGCCCCGCACAGGAGGCAAGATGGCTGAGGAGAAACCCGGGCTGGGGGCCTGCAGGGTGCGGAGTGTCACGGCCGAGCTGCCAAGCAGGCGCAGAGAACACCGTGAAGAACCTCCACTCCTGCCAGGGGATTATGGGAAGACCAGATCAACTATTTGGATGGGAGGCCCACAGAAAAGTCCAGAAACAGCATCTAGCCTTTTTTCACAGGAAAATGCACCGAGATCCGGGAGGATAAGGGGTGACTGGGAAAAAAGCATGTGCGGTATTGAGCACTCTACGTGTTTGAAGCCGAAGCTCGCTGAAGTGTTCCCTGCTACGGAAAAGTCTATTAACTATACAAGCTGCAGGCAAAGCTTCATCCCATGGCTCAATGCCTGCATCACCAACACCTGGATTCTCTCTTCTTTGCCTCCCAGGATGTTGGCTCCTCCTAAGGCTGATTCTCCAGTGCTGACAAGGTTTTGCCAGCTGCTGGGAGAGGTCAGTGCCCTTCAAATCATATGGCAGGAAAGTAGATGGGCAGAGAGCTAACAGAATCATGGCACGGACACCGAGAGCGTGGAGATGTGGAAGCCAAGTGGCCAGGGGTGCACAGGTCCTCTGTGAGGGTGGCAGCCCCGGTCTGAGAGGAGACGAGGCTGGGTGACCTCTCAGGCCCCTGGCAATCCGGGATCCTGTGATTCTGAGCATGGAGCACACACACCTAGCTAATGCCCAGCCGGTCAGGGGGACAAGGGAGTTTGGTTTTGGGGTGACCCCTCAGATCAAGGCTTGCATCTGGTAGCTGCTCCACGGTGGCCGAACTGGGAGGCAGCCTGGAGGCTCCAGGGGATCTGCTAGGTTGGTTTCCTATACTTCCCATATTCCCCAGACCAAAGTCATCTTCCACAGGGAGCTGAGCTAGGTCGCTGTCAAGGTCCTATACTTGGGTTGCTCTTAATTTTCTTCTGCTCCAATGGGGTCCTTGAGGGGAGCTGGAAAAACTGTACTTTCCCTGCACTGATGATTATATAGCCTGACTTTTTGGGTAAGTGAGCAGCTCCAGGGTTGTAGGGAGCACGTCATTCACCTGAGCTTAACTGACCACGAGCATGAATGATTTCCAAAGAAGCCAGAGCTGGGAGAAGGCTAAAGATGGGCCTGTACACTGGCTTTCTGGTTTGTTTCCACATGTACTTGTGAAATAATGGCTGCCTTGTATGTAGGCCCCCCCCTCTGCCTTAGACCGCGTAGGACCCTAGTCCGTCTGCACACAGCGGTTCCCGAACAAACAGATCAGTCACACTAAGCCCATGTCCTTGCTCCCCAACAGGAAAGATGGAGCCCACCTCCTGGGAGGTGTCATAAAGCCAGGGGAGCCCTGCTGACAGGACCTCAGATCAGGCCACATCTCATAAACCAGGAGGAGAGAAATGAACCTGTCTCTCTGCTTGAGCAGGATCCTGGGGCAGGAATATAACTTCCATTATACTCATTTTCATATAACCTGCTGAGGGCAGCAGGTTAAATATAACTAGAAATTATTTAAATATGACTAAAAACAATCTGAAGAGCCACTATTTTTAATTGATTTTATTTAAATTTTACAGAAACCTGATTGGTGTTAAGTAATTATAAGTCCAGTAACAATTCTACAAAAATGCACATACAATGCCAGAATTCCTTAAAAGCAACTGATATCATATTCTTGTTTTGCATAAAACATGCATTTGTATCAACTGCCACATGTTGGCCAAAATCAGTCTCTACAAGAAGAGACAGTCCAATACAGTAAATAAGAAAACTAGTTGTGAACAACAGGTAAAAAAAAAAAGAGGTCTTCTGGTTAATGTAAAAGAAGGAACAGTGCCTTTCATAAAACCAGCCCTCCAGCACAGGGTGATCTGAAGGAGTACACTGCACGATAATGCACCGCCTCTGAGGCTTGGTCCTGTCCTGTCTTAAGAAGGAACTTTCTGGTAGTTAAATCAAACATTTGAGGAGATACAAACTGTCAGGCCACAGCGGCACACCTCTAGTGCAACCTTGCAGAAGGGGTTCAAAATTCTCAGACTTGAAAAAGTTCCAAGCTGGGGACTGTAAACAATCTCAAAGACACCCTGAGCTTTTCAACCTAACCTTTTTATCCTTTCCTACAAGGCTAGCTCAGGGCACACAGGCATCTCCTGTGGCCATAAGACCTTCCCACTCCCCACCACTCTTCACAAGATCTATAACCAGGAGGCCTAATGCAGAGAAACATGGGTTGGACTATTTTTGAGGCCTCGACCTCCCAAAGGCCTAGTTTATCCCATCCAGGGGTCGGTAGGGACTCACATACATGACTGCTGGACACACAAACTACTAGTAATATATGTGTGTGGCCTCAAAGCTTCAAATGCTATAGTCACAAACCTCAAAGTGTGCCATCTATTGTCAGGGAAGACCACTTTCCTCCGGAGGGAGAGATCAGCGAAGGGCTCTGTTTACCAAAAGGCATTTTCCACATAGACAAAGGTTTTAAAGAGATTTCATACCAACTGAAAAGGACTTACCCTCAAATATGGGGTTTTATAAACATTCTGTGAGATTCTTCAGATCTCAGTCATTAGGGAACCAGCTGTGCATCTTAACATTTAATCTACATAAAGCTCATCATTCCCCCAGCCTAGGGCCTTGTTCCGTACGTCTTCCATAGTCTGCCTCCTCCAAAACAGGGCACACAGTTTTGCTCGCTACAAATAAGCTAAACAGTATCTTTCTTTCTTCAGCAGATTTAAGGAGAAAAAATAATTTACTGGGGTTCCAAAAACATTTTTATAACAGAACAATATCAAAATAGGTCCATTTTTAATATATGCTTATGAATATCCCTGATTATATAAAGAAATCCAGAGGACTTTGTAAACCACCAAGACTTCACAGGGTAGTACCCGGTCTGTTTTCTAGGCAGCAGAGGAGGGACTAGTATACTGGCAAACTTTCTCCAGGAAGCCCTGTGAGTGCTACAGTACTGAATTATAATATTCTAGTGCCAGTAGAATTGTGAACAAAATTTTCACTTTAAATTTATTAGTAAAATTCGTAACAAAGGTTGGCTTCCTCAGTCCTGCCATCAGCCAATCTCCCTGCCTGTGACGACGGCCAGGCCAGAAAACCATCAGTCTTGGCTACCTGGAGGTTGGGCTCCAAGGAAACCAGTTCTGAGATCTTTTCTAAGCCATGACCAAACTTCAGACAGCAGGGATGTGGAAGAAAGAGCAGACCAGGCCTGAGGAAGCTCTGACCCAAGGCACCGTGATCATGGGGGAGAGGGACCTACAGAGGCTGTGGCTGACAGGAAGAGAACTTCTGGGATGCCCCACAGAGCAGGTCCTGGAAGACAACAGCTCCGTGGTGGAGTAGACACATTCTGGAGTTAAAGACAAGCCATTAGAAATTATTTACTTTCTCAAAACCAAATCAAACTCCTAAAAACGTACAGGCAAACAACCCAGAGAAGACTGGGATGGGGTGTGGGGAGCTGAAGTCCGTGGAATGAGCTGCACTTCGCTGAGTCAGAAGAACGCTGGTTGCGAAGTCCGCATTAACACGGTGACACCGCAGTTAAGGAGAGCAAAGCAAGCTCGAGGCCGGAGGAGGAGGCCTCTCCAAAGAGAGGGCAGAAAGAGGACCAAATGTGAAACAGCCTCTTTTATTCCTGGCACAGTAAGTGGCATTTTCATTGGCTGGGATGAGGAGAAGGCGCCTTACTCCACTCTAGCTGCAATAATACTGCATTCCATCCACTCTTCTTCTCTTTTTTGACTGAAATTCTTCAAAGAACTGTTGGATGTCCTCTCTCTTCACAACCTGTGGGTGAAAAGCAAAGAACAGGAGGGAACTACGTTACAGAGCAGCAATACCCAGTAGTAACATTCACAAGCAAGTCAAATACTGCCGGTAAGAATTCTTTCAATGTCTAATTAATTATACTAGCTCCACTTTATAGAATAGTTCATCCGGGTGTACAGAGACGGGCCTTCAGAGCCACATGGCTGGCTAGGGCGAGTAGCATGATGCCAACGTAGTCCTCACCATCTCCTTTGGCTTCTTCACATAAGAGGTGACCAAAGTGGCACCTATCTCACGGGCTCATTTGAAAACCCGGGCTCAGATGAAACACACTGCCTATAAAACGCTGCCTGGCACACAGTAAGTTCTCCAAAAATACTGGCTGAAAAGAAAAGTGGCCAAGCCAACACCAAACATGCGGGCCCTCGAAGTGTCCTCGGGCCACTGCCCGCAGGGTCTCTTTCTCCTTACCACAGCCTCTTTGGGGAATGTCCTTTAGTTCTGCATAAGCACCCACAGAAAACAAAGTCTGTTTTGCTTTGAGATCTGTGCTTTCTTCTTTATGGAAAAAAAGGAACCAAAACATTTGGAATTCCTTCTTCAGGAGTCCAAAATTAAAGATGTTTGCTACATAAACACAAAAATAATCAGCAAAAACTACGGAAACACTACTACTCTTAGTAAGTGGAATAATCCGTTTTATGCAATGAGAAACTTACCTTCTATTTTATTGGAAAAGGAATTAGAGAAATCATATAAAGGTGTTTATGATATTAGCAAAATAAAATATTAAAAATAAGAAAATAAGGCAAAGGGAAAATATGGATCAAAAAGTAAGCTGAGACAACCCAGAAGGAGTACCTGCCCACCACCCCTAGAGTGAGTCTCTGCCAGGGACCTGATCTAATGCTGCCTGAAGGGCCATCACCAGAGACAGGTTTGCTAATTCACTTTTTAATTACAAAGGTAACACATGATTATTGTTATGAAGGAATGAAGGTGCAGCAGGGAGAGAGAGGGAAAGAGGAAAAGAGAGCACATGAGTGCAGAGGGGAGAGGGAGAAAGAGAAAGCAAGTCGGACAAACAAGTGTGAAAAGGCAAACTCTCCCTGTCACTCCCCAGGGGTAAGTGCTGCTGACACATGCAAATGACAATGCGAAAACCTGGGTGACTTTCTTGGGAAGATTACTACTCCTCTAAATGAAAGAACTGAATGCACAGACAGATCAGTTTCACAAGCACCAAGAGCAAAACTGCTGGTCCTCCGGAGAGGAATCAGAACCCCTAACAGACTCAAGACCTAGATGGCTAACATGGCTAACACTGAGGTAACAGCCCAAAGCTCTAATGTGCTTGGCTAAATGGCTTAGAAATTTACATTTACAAAGTGCTAATATAGAGCTGCTTGGGAATTCCAATAAGGAAGGATCTGTCCCCACCCTGGGTCACCAACATTAAACACTGAAAAGCAATGCAAGGAAACAATTTCTCTTGCAAGGATGTTGTGGGAGATGTAAAAGCACACAAATTAGAGTGTGCAATTTTTAGTTTCTAGACATCTTCAAATGGTCAGAGCCAACGTGCAGAGTAGAAGTGTTAAAGAATAAATACTTGGGTTCAATAATAAATCATTTTATTATTTTGTCTCAAAAATTTTTAGTTTCTAAGTTTTTTTTTTTTAGTCAGACACAAACATTAAATAAAAGGCAATCATCTGAGAACATCTAGATCTTACTAGCATTATCTTCTGTGGACAAATACTACCAAAGCAGATAAGTCTTGCTGCAGTACAAGGTATCTGTTTTTGTAAAGATCTAGTTAGTAGTGTCATGAAACACACAATAAAAGATATTTTTCTGCCCTTTTAAATCATTGCATCAGGTAAAACAAATTATGTCAGACTCACAGAGTGGCTCTAGTGCTAACAAAGACCCACATGTTGAAGATACATGTGAAGAATTTGAATAAAATTGTTTCAGATGTGAATGGGAGAAGGCTACATATCTAGTTTTCTTTCTTTTATGTGACTTTAAGTGTGTGTGTAATGAAATCAGTGAACAGCACTGTAACCACAAACTACACAAGAACAGAGGCTCAATAGCAGAGGCTCAACAGAGTCAAGAGCATACACAGTTTGACCCATTTGTAATATCTGAAATGTCTGTTAATAGTGCAGAGGTCAAAAAGTTATACCCATGAACATTCTTAGTTCTAGCAAGAGAGAGAAGCATGAGTCTAATTAGCTGGATGATAGCCTTTACAATAGGAACAAGACTGGCCGTAGTTTAAGAACTACAGGGAAGCACAAAGATGTTCATAGTGAATGAACAACATTCTCCAAAAAATGAGAAAACTATTTTTGAGAAGGCTTTTAACTTCTGACTTTACAACTCATTTTGCAGAAAGGCAGCACTGGGACCCTGTCCAGAAATCCAGGCAGTTACAAGTCCTTCCCAGATTTGTGAGGAAGCAGAAAGACCTAAAGTAAACTGGCAGAGACTTCTTCCAAGACAGCAAGTTGCAGGGCCCTTCCTGAGTGGCCATCAGACCCAGGTCTGAATTATTTATATGACTGGTTACAGCAGAGCAAAACATTTACTGTCCCTAAGGACAAACTTAAGCTATGAAAAGAAAAGTTCAATTTTGCTTTATATCTGCCTTTGGAAGAAAGAAAAGTATTTCAAAAACAATTGTCGTAAATGTATAAATAGTAAAGAGCTAGGAAGTATCTCACTCATGTGGAATACTATTTTAAAACATCACACTTTGTAGAATCAGCATCAACCTCAAAAGCATATATAGACTCTTACTAACAAGAGAAATGTTTTAGCCCCCAATTATAAAGTTCTTTTATTCTGAAACTACAAATCCCAGAATCCAAAAAAAGGGATCTGGCTTTAACTTTTTCCTGCCTGGTCATTTTTCCTTCCTCCTCCAAAGGTCCTTGCTTGATGGTCAGGCCACACTGGGAGGAATGATCCAGTGGCCTTCTCCTAGGCTACAGTCACTCTCTTCAGGTCCTGCATGACTGCTCCGTTCAGGGGTGGAAAGGACTCCCAGTGGGGCCAGGCCCTCATCTCACCACCTGATGTCCATTACCTCTGCCTGCATGCGACTCTCAAGGATCTGGTTTAAGATGCACAGTCATTTTTCTCATCAAAGAAAATAAAGTTTATTCAAATGTACAGGGATGTAATTAAAACTCTTTAGCTGACATACCGTGCCTTCATCAGCAAATCTCTTGAGATAGTCTTTGAGTTCAGTCTTCAAGTCATTGTATTCTAAATTAAAACAACAAAAAAGGTACTGCGACTTTTGAGAATTTGCTTTTAGAACAAAATATTTTTTTACCATTGACATTTGAGTATGTTAATAGTTCAAATTTTTCTTCAAGTGAAATTTGCATAGATACTTGGTTCCAGTTTTTCCCAAATCCCTTCATTTTGATATCTGGGACCCTTTTTCTTTAGGAAAAAAAAAAAACCCTAAAAAGTCAGAGAATCTTCACACCCAAAAAGATTAGCTAAGAATGTTTTAAAGGGTTTCCTGTCTCTCTGGAATCTAGTACTTGAAATAACCTTGGACTCATCAAACATTAAGCATTCAAACTCATTCGCTCACTTAACAGTTTATATTATGCATGAAGCACCTTGAAGACTATAAAAATCTTTTAGATGCAGCCTTCATCCTCAGAAAGTGTTAAGTCTAATAAAGGCAATTAATCAAATAGTTATAAATAAAAGAAATGATCAATGCCATAAAAGGGGCACAGAGGATGGTGGCATCTGAATGAAAAGTAGCTGGGATGGAAACCACTAAAATAAACTGGCATGCTGGGGTAAAAGACAAACGTCTACAATTAAGGGTTTGGGGATATTTCCCCCTCTAGTGGTTTCCATTAACCATGGAAGTTACCTCAAGAACCTGTCAAAGAGATGACATGCTTTGCTCAAAGGTGACATGTAATGCTCAATGAAAATTATTTTAATAAATGGGAAAAGAAATAGATTTTTTATTATTCTTCATTCTTCATCTACCCTTTATTAAAAACAGCATGTTATGGTTGTTCAAGCATGAAAGGATTCTAGCATGTAAGTGGATTTGATGATAATAACAGCTAAATACCCAGCAATGTAACAATTAAGCAAGCATAGCTGAGACCTACTACTCAATTCCAAATTTAAACTTTCTTTGTATTAGATTAAAATAATGGATATGAGTTCACCTTCTTATACACACTTTTTTTTAATAGTGAAGGAAACTTTATGAACTTTATTTTCATACTCAAGCAGTACCTACCACAAATAAGTTCCACTTGCTGGACTCTGTTCATGCTGCTAAGGGTGTCCATTAGAGGGTCTCTCCTGTCTGCTGCCTGGTCAACTTTGCCCTTGTTTTCATAAGCCAGAACTGTGTCACATTCATCTGTCATGAACAGGACATCTAGATCGCCATACATTTTCTTTAAAACATAAAAGCAGATACCCTATTAGAACTGTATGTCATTCTCAGAAAGTCAACCTCATGAGAATCACTAAAAATTAATTTTTTTAGATTAACTGCCAGGAAAACCTGAGCCTGTCAGTACAGAGTTGCTCGAATGATTTAATTTTTTTTGTCCAAATATCTTTCAGAAATCTCTCAACTTCCCAGCAGATGTTGTATGGTCTAAGAAATCTTTATTTAAAAACCATTGACTTACTACAACTTTCAGGCAATTTGTATTTCCAAGCAATTCTAGGATACAAAAAAGATAGTAATTTCTATGTTCCACTAAAGTGATCATAAGTAAATAAAATGTATTGCATAATTCTTAAATTCTTCAACAAGTATTCAGACTGCAAGTACTATTTCATATATTTGCTTAATATAGAGCTTTTTAAAGACCTCTACATCCAAGACATCAATTTCATAAATATACTTTTCAGATGTTCTATTTCAGGCATCAGTCCACAAAACAGACTATAGCATTGAACTTGACCAGGTAGGTGCTCACCATACAGTCTTTGCAGGTACATAACTTGCTGCGCCAGTTCAGGGGCCAGAAGGTGGCAGTGTCTTTCTTGATAAACTGCTTAGTTTTAAGCTCCTGAAGTTTGCAGCCAGACTGTGATTCTGTGTTGATATGTTGATTCTTAAGCGCTGTCTGAAATAAAATTAAGTTCTGAAGTGTGCTTTTTTAAACTACCATAGTTTTCAATTTACATTTTATAAAAGGATTTCTTTAGGCAAAGGGTACAGCTAAAGTCCAAAGCTATAGAGTTCGCAGAATTAATGTTGCTTAAGTTTTATTTCTTTTACAGCTCATACTTCATATTACCTGGAGATCAGATTCAGAACTAGAGCTGGTACACGGTTCATTAGTCTGCTCTGCTTTAACTTCCTTTCCATGTTCTGGAACATCCTCTTTGAGGGTACTATCTTGATGATCTCCATTTTCAGGTTTGATAACTTCCTGATCACGTATTCCACCGACATTCAGTACCAACCCATCATCCTCAGCAGGTACTTTGGTTACTGTGGGTTCAGTGAGATAAAAGACACAGACATATCCACAGACCTATCAAACAATGAAATCACTTAGTCTGATTAAAAAATACTTTAGTATTTGGAACACAAGAAAGTCAATCTTAATCTCTGAAACAAAGATAAAGGAAATAATATTTTTTTAGGTTATGCCTGCCTGATCCAAAGAGTTCAAAAATTGAACAGTTCATCTTAAAATGTCAATTTCTACTAAAGTGCTTTATATGTAAAGAAGAAAGAAAAATACTGCAGATGTTAATGTGAGATGATATACCTCAAGAAGCCAGAGGCAGTAAGAAGAGATTTAACTTGCTTACATCTTAAACTTGACTTGCTTAAAGAGATTTAAGTGAACACAACTGGCAGGGTAGTTTTGAAAAAACCAGTTTTTCTTTATGAGAAGAAGAGATCAAATAGGATGGTATAGAGGCGGAACTACTGTCAAGGAGAGAAATGACAAGTAAGCTCATGTTGGATGATGGCACTTCAATGTGATGGGAGATGAGGCCATCTGCCAACAGGGAAGGAAGTGAAATGAGCGTGGAAGATGGACAAAGAAACCCCAGTGAATGAGAACTGAATACAGGTCCATGAAAGTGAGAGAGAGAACTGGGAAGGATATACACAGAAAGAGCACACCAAGTTTAAGGCCTTTGAGACAAATCAAAAAAGTGTAGGATGAGATCTTAGGCATGGCTATGCTGCTGTGGTTTGTATGAAGTAGTCCCTAAAAGTGAGAAAGGCAAGAAGTATGAGGCCAGAGCAGCAGATTCTATGAGTAACTGCTACTCTAAAAATAAATATATCATTACCAATAAAATAAAATATTTAATGCCTCAAAACCATTCATTGATTAGTTGTTTTGAGTCAATTTCTCCATGTATAAAAAAAGCACTAGAACACCATCCACTCCCCGACCAATGGAATGTCTTACATTGAAGAACAACTTACTTTGCCTTCATTTATATTTCAAAGTCCCATTCAAAAGCTGCCATCTCCATTTTCTCTAATTCTGGTCTTACCCATAGTCTGCATCATGCCATTTACATTACAACATTGTTCTTTGTAGTCTCCCAACCAATCTATAAGAACCTTGCGGAGAAGTAACATAGCGCACACTTCTTCCATATCTCAGAGTCCAGTTAAAAACGGTTGGTAAAAATTCCTAGCTGAACATACAAACTTCACAAGCACAAGTTTGTGGCACACTCGCTCCTGGACTCACCTACCTGCCAATTGTGCAGCATAAGCCCACAGGAAAGAGCAGTGTTTCATACAAGCCTGGCATACCATCTCTTGGAAATCCCCACTCTCAGGGGGAGTGGCACCAAGATGCTGTGAATATAAAAAACCGAGTATTTCTCCTGTGATCTCCAAGTTATCCAAAATGCTCGTTATTTTAGAAACAAATACTGCAATAGTACACTGATCATATTTTTAAGTTTATTTTTAGAAGAGTAATTATAATGTAAAATATAACACAACTCAAAAAGAAAGATCTTTTCTCTTTTTGTGAAGACATGGCTTTAAAGGGTGAATGCTTTCCTTACCCTTCCATGGAACCAGTCTTCACAGACTACACATTGGATCATCACATCCGGAACCTGACATGTAAAAGCAGTCTGTATGTTAGTGGTTACAGTGAATTCTGGGACACAGAAGTAAATCTGGCACACAGTAGAATTAGCTATGAAATAATTCTCTACCAATTCTATGAGACCTCTATCTATTTGCCAAGGGGACAGGGAGAAACAAAGGGCCAGAGGAGTTCACTCTACTTTGTGAACTGGTGTTACAGAAGGGTTACACTGAGATAAGCATTTTGCAAACAACTATCAAGGCTCTTTCACAGCAGTTACTCAATACCTGATTCTCACAGAACTTTATACTTACAAACAAGCAATGTATTTTCATTTTATGTATAAACCCAGGCCCTGGGAGGTAATGTGAATTAACCAATGTAGAATGTGACAACTGGGACTTTACCACCCCATGTGGCCAAATAACTGAAAAGCAAATGTTACAAACAATCTCTTGCTAATATGGACAAGAACAGCCTAGCTCATTTGAATAAATAATTAATTCAATTCTGGCCTTGGGAAATTATATACCAAAGGTATAAACTATATTTGGAATGATTTTTCTTTTATTCCCAGGCTTTCATATCCACTGATTAACATTCCAATGTTGTACTGTCCTTTCCCTATTATGGTTCCTTAAAGGAAAAAAATTAAAATTAGAAATATATATATGTTTGTGCAAATATATATGTGTGTGTGTATATATATGTATATACATGTGTGTGTGTATGTATATATATATATATATAAAGCAGTTTTTGTCTTTCTTCTGCCTTGATCAACTTATTCATCTTAGTTTCTTCTCTTGATCCAGCAATATTATAACACTTAACCCTGTATCTTAAAATATCCAGTTTTAAGGTGTTACCTTTGTTAACTCAAATTTGTTCCTCTACACAATTTGGTTCAATAATTATAGTTCCAAGACAACTAGAAAGTAAAGAAGAGGGCAGAAGGCTAATTCCTCTAAATAAAAAAAGCACCCCTTCATATCAATAAATACACAAACAAAACCTAACCCAATCAAAATATGGGCCAAGAATATGAAAGGACAATTCAGATAGAAGGTTGTTACAAATATTCAATAAACCCATAACAAGATACAGAACTGCACTCATGATGAGGGAAAGGAAAATTTTTATAAGAAACTTTTTCATCTATCAGAACGGCAAAATTTTAAAGACTAGTAATATGCAGGGTTTCACAAAAGTGTTGGGAAAAAAAACACTGTCACATACTGTTAGTGGCAGACATGACCACAATTTTTAATAAAAATATCCTTTGACCTTTCAGTTCAACCTCTAGGTATCTGTTCTACATAAATAAGTGCAGTAGTATACTTACGTTATTGTTTAAGGACATTCACTGAAGCTTTCTTTATAACACTGAAAGATTAGACGTTTTTCTGCTATTGAACATTCAGGTAACTAACTTGTGTCATGTTAAATCATGGAATACTCGGCTGTGACTAGAACAAGGTAGATTTGCATTGTTTGACATGGAAGGAGGTCTACAATATACGGATAAGTGAGAAAAGCAAGTTGTAAGAAGTGAACATACAGAATTTTCACTTTTGTTGAAAGAAAACTACATATTGAAAAACACATTCGCTCAAATACTTAACATGTGCATAGAAACAGCTCTAAAAATATAGACACCAAAGAGAGCTAACAGTGGTTATGTCTGAGAGGTAAGAAGGTGAAGTGAGAAGAAAAACTTAAATTTTGTGTATACTTCTAACTGAAACTTTTAAGAGGATCCAGTCTGTACACCCCATTTCTTTCCTTCCAGAGAAGCAAGAAACTGAAGGTCATTTTTTAGAAAGTGTTTGGGAGACTTGGAACAGGCAAGCAGGCAAAAAGAGAAGGAAGGAAATAGGGCTGTCGATATTTCATTCTCGTGATGTAAGAGTGAGGACAGTTGAGATCTGTACCAGTAACAGCCTGGCCCAGACTCATAAGGAGGGATAAGCTACAAGCCTTTCACAATCCCCAAATCCTCCCTGAATAACTACCAAGGCAAGATGTGACAAACAGGCTGAGGAATTCAATTCTCTTACCTCGTCTTCAGGATCAGGATAAGGTCTTTTGCAAATACAGTACAATCCAAAAAAGTTGTCATTGTATTTATTGCTAGAATTTATCTTTGCTTTGTCCTGAAAAATATTAATTTCAATATATAATATGGCCTAATTTTAACTATAATTTCATGCATCATGAATTTTAAGCATTCAATAGATTTCTGCATTAAATATCTTTCCCCCAGAAGCTGGTTCTTAACTGTCAAAGTAAAGAAGAAAAAGAATTCAGTCCTATTAAAGAGATACTTTTTCCAGGATACAAAAAAAAATTAATTGTATTTCTGTACCTTTTTTGTAGCAATTAGGGGAACCAAATACACCCATTTAGTAAAATGGTGATAAGTGTTAATTATCAGCCTATGCAAACTGACAGTGGTCTGAAATTTCTAAATACTTCTTAGCCAAAGCTCCCAGGTTACTAAGAGGTAAAAAGCAGGCAAGGAAATTGTCTAAAAATAACATTCAAAGGAGGGAAAAAGCACGACAGTTTCAACAAGTATGATTTACCAGTGTAAAATCCCTTATTTCCCACTTTGTTATTTCACTAAAAATTATTGTATAAGTATAGTTTTTATTAGCCAAAAGGCAATGAAAAACATGTGTGTGCATCTAGTTCACATTTATTATTACCAAGTTTTGTTTATCCAGTTTTTAAAATCATGCCCTTTGCTTCAAAAGCCTTAGAGCAAGATTGAGCACAATCAACATAATTCAACCTGAATAACTTTAAAGAACATTCCCCCAAAAACCTTTCACATTAACTACAATCTATAATGTAGGTTCTGAACAGGTTGCTTGGTTTCCCAACAAAGTAAAAAATGGAATACAGTCTAATATCGATTTGCCTATTTTCAAAGAATAAGCATGAACTTCCTTTTAGGAAAATAATTTGGTTTTTATCCACTCTGGCAAATATCAATCTCAGTCAGCTACTTTCAATGCATTTGTAGTCACAGTGCTTACTTACAGGAAATAATTTGCATTCCAAATTTTTAAACTTGCTGTTTCCACAATCACAACAAAAGTTTCTGAAACAAAGGAGGAAGAGCTGATTTAAAATACTCCTTTAAATCTAATCACTTATTTTTTAAATTCATAACATAGCCTCTTCCCTTTCGTTTCTAGGATCTAAAAAGTGGCCTTGGTTGCTATTCATACATCCAATTCTGAATTTCTCCCAGCGCCTAACAATAAAAGAATTAACAATTCTAGAAATTAATATGCATAGATAATTATCTGTGTCTACACACAGAGGCACACAAGTAAAATCATAACAGAGAATGATGAATAGTTTGAGTTTGTGCCATAATTATATTTTAGAAAGCCATCTGGAAAAACTATTCTCTCCAATTATATAAAACAACTGTATTAAATTTTACCAGTGCACAACTACTTTGAATGGAAAAACAAGTTTAAGATAAATGTACAGGTGGGAAAGAATCTACACATTTAAAAAGCTTTCAGCACCAATATCTGTCTTTACCTTTTTGTGTATAGCTCAAACAGCTTGTGACTTCCATGACACTCGTAACTGCAAGCGAGGCAAATTCCTGCTGGTTCTTCTCCCTCTGGGGTACAGGTACTACAGGCATATAATGCTTGTCTCTTTACCGAGCCCTAAAGACAGCCCCAAAATGGAAAAAAAGAGAGAGAGAATAAATTAATGAAATATGGCACAGTTACCTAATATACCATACTAACATCTAAGAAATAAATGAATCATCATCTACAGTCAAGCTGTTCCTATAAAAATCAAGATTAAATAAAATAAAAAGCTAACACAAGAGAGTACCAAAACACTGTTGTAGTTTTCATAGGTCTATTTACGTATTATGCTAGTGCTTGTTTACAGACAATTTTTTCTTAAAGTGATAGTTTAAAATGTTTCAGTCAGTTGTGAATAAACTAGTCTCCTCAATCATTTTTTAAGACATGAAAATGTAGGTGAATGTGTGTAGGTTTAGGTAAGTAATATCATACTTATAGTTTTGGAAAATGTGATTCCACCAAAGAAAAAATATCAACGTTTTTTTAGGAGAGACATGATGAAATATTTAGAGATAGAGTGTCATGGTGTCTGCAACTTATTTTCAAAGGACCTAGAGAAAAAAAGAGCATTATATAAAGAAGAGAGAAAACATGGCAAAAAGCGAATATATATATATATATATATAAGAGGTACACAAACATTCATAATATTCTTTCAATTTATCTGTAGGTTTAAAATGTTTCCAAGTTAAAAGTGGGGGGAAAATGGGCAGAATTTTTAGAAACCTTGATAATGGCTACACTCCTCTTGGAAGGAGGGAGAGACACAGAGAGGCTTTTAGGATTCCTGTAATGTTCTAGTTCTTGATCTGGGTGGTAGGTACATATTTATGTTCACTTTTATTCCAAGCCATACATATGATTTGTGCAATCTTCCATACATTTAAAAGAATAAAATGAAAATTTTAAGAAAGTCTGTTTTAAAAGCTAACTACATTTCAAGAAATAGCTTCCTTTTTTTTTTACAGGAAAGCAGAGAAAAAGTTGTTTTAGTGGTGACCAAAAGTTTTAAAATACCAGCCAACATGTGGGACAAACTCTAGATACCAGGTTTATTCAACAATCTAACCACTTAGCAGTGCAAACTGCCCAATGATGAAAACTGCTATTATGATCTCAGTCCACACCACACAATGTCCCAGTCTCTCTCTTCATCCCTCCGCGTTCCATAGAGGTAACCTTCCTCCTATCAATTCTCATTCCGTTTGATTTTCTTCTACCCACCGTTTTCCATTTTTGAACTTCGAAAATGAGTCACCAAACACCAAATCACACCCCCTCGAATCCTTGTTCATAACGTCTTCCAAGTGCCAAATTTCCTGTTCAAGCGGACCCTTCTCTCCTCCGCCTCCCCCCCTTCTTGGTCAGTACCACCTGCTGTTCTGGCTCCGGTCTATTCCCACGGGGGCGGACTGCAGACAGAAACGGTACTTGCTTTGTCTCCCCCCAAAAAAGCTACCTTGTCAAACTAAATTGCAGAGAAGTTAGCTGTCAAGGGGCCTGGTCCGGCGTTGGGAATTTCAGATCCAGAGTTCTCTTCTTTAACTCTGTTTTGACTCTTCCATCCGGTTCTTAACAAATGCTCTTAGGATGGGAAAAGTAGGGACAAAGATGTCTGGATTTAAGAGGTCACGGGAAGGGTTTCTGAAAAGTAGCCGGAGCGCCGAGAAGAGACGGAAAAAGAAGGAACGAGCAGCTGCCCAAGCCCGGGGAATCCTGAGGGGCTGAGCCGGGGAAGACGGAGGGAAGAGGGGCCCTGCTGGACGCAGGCCGAGGGTGAAAGGGCAGCTGGGCCTGGGATGGGGAAGTCTAAAATAAATGACGATCGCGGACCACCACGCGGGAGTCGGGCGGGCAGGAACAGGGCAAGGCGGGTCGGGATCAGGAGGTCCGGCCGGAGCCTGGGGAAGGCGGGGCCGGGGCCGCGCGCCCACCTGCGAGTAGGAGCACTTCTCGGAGTCGCTGCCGCCCAGTACAGCGCACGCCTCTTTCTCCAGCTCCTCGTCCTCCTCAAGCACGTCGACCAACGATACTACGGGCTCCAGCTCCGACTGCCGCCCAGCGGGGCCCTCAGCTCCGGCCATGCTCAACTGTCACCCAGCCAGCCGCTCTGCCCTGGCGGAGGCGGGAAAAAGCGGCCGCGAGGGGCGTGGCCGGAGGAGGCGGGGCATGTGTGACAGGAGCCAATCCCAGTGAAGGGAAGCGAAGGAAGGGGGAGGAGCGACTCTGACAAACGGAAATCATCTCTCGCCAGTCTCCGCCTGCTCCCGCCCTGGGCTAATTTCCGCTTCCAGGTGAAGCTTTCCAGAGGCGCCCTCCTGAAGCTCGGAACCCGCCATGGAGGTGTTGGGCGAATTTATCGGGCCGGACGGGCAGAGCCAGCAGCTGCGGGTGACTTGTGAGGCGCCGGGAGACGGCGACCCTTTCCAAGGACTGTTGTCGGGCCTCGCCCAGATGAGGGAGCTGGTGGCCGAGCTCCTACCCACCCAGGTTCAGCGGAAAGGGCAGGACCAGGTGGCGGCGGCTCCGGACGAGGCCCTGGACGGTGAGCTTTGAGAAGCTGCTGAACGACAGACAGGAGGGCAGGGCGAGGGAGCCCGTGTAGTAGACTTGGAAAAAGTGAGCCTCAGGGGAAGAGGAGTTCCAAGTTAAAAATGTTAACACTTAAAGCCATTATTGTTTGGGCTGCTTCTATCCAGGCGTTTTCACAACTCTTTTAATTTATCTCACAAAAAACATGCTGACCGCCTGCCACTGTACTCTGTGCGGGGCGCTGGGCTGAGCTCGGGAGAAAGAATGAGGCGAATGCGGCTCAGTTTCTGCCCTTGTGGGACTCTCAGACCGGTGGGTGTTAGACAGGTAGACGCTCTGTTAAAGATTGGAAGTCTGACCCTAGGGGCCTCTGTAACTACTGTAAACCGAGAGGCGCCAGGAAGCCTTCAGAGAGGGCATGACTATTGAGCTGGGTGTTGAAGGATGAAAAGGAGTTTTACCAAGTGTGAAATTTCAAACCTGTTTGGAAGACTGCCATCTGTCACAGAATAGGAATAAATCCAGATTACAGTTAAGCACGCCTAAACTCCTAGGGGCTCCTATACCATATCCCAGTTTAGTAGATGCAGTTTGAAAGTAGAAACGTGAAATGTAACTGCACTAATTTTGTTAAAGTCTTGTCTTGAATACAAAAATAGGTAGGTTCATTTTGACGGTCCAGAGCTGGAACCTAAGAACTAAATAGTGGAGTCGGGACTTAACTCCTCTAAAAAGGAGCGTAAACTGTACTGTACTTTCTTTTTCTTTCCATCTTGTTTACATCTTGATAGTTACAAATAATGTGAAGTAGCCAAGACTGAACTCAGAACACTACGCGTTAGTTGGATGTTGGCCACACATATTGAGAGTGAAGTCCTGTTTGTTAGCACCAAAAGTACCGCTCTAATCTGCTGAAAATGTTATTGGCGTAAGGATAGGTATAGCTAGGTCTATTTTTTTAAAATGTGTTATTACTTATTGGAAAAATAACTGCCAACTGTTTTATTAATGATGGGTCAGGAGTGTCTTTAAATAGGACATTTTTTTCTGTTTAATGAAGTCGTCCCAATAAAGCTTAAGTTTAAACTTTCTTCTTAAAAAATGTGATAGAGATTAAAATGGTGGATTTTATATTATATGAATTATATCTCAATAAATATACAAAGGAAAGTGATAGAAATGAACACTAAAAAGATAATCCAGTTATCAAATCTGCAAAGGATTTGAACAGATAGTTCTTCAAATATGATATACAAATGACCAGTAAGCACATGAAAAGACACTCAACGTCATTGGCCTTGACGGAAGTGTAAATCAAAGCCACAGTGAAACACCATGTCATACTCATCAGGATGACTATAATCATAAAGAATATTAGCAAATACTGGCTAGGATGTGAAGAAATTGGAGCCCTCATACATTGCTGTGTAATGTAAAATGGTGTGCTTTCTTTGGAAAACAGTTGGGCAGTTCCTCAAAAAGTTAAATGTAAAATTACTTTATGACCCAATGATTCTATTCCTAGGCATTTCTAGTTCTATACCTAGTTCTCCCAAAGAGAACTTGTTCTCATAAAAACTTAGGCCAAATGTTTGTAGCATTATTCATAATAGCTAAAAAGTGGAACCACAAATGTCCATGAGTTGATAAGTGGTTAAACAAAATGTGGAATATCCATACAATGGAAGGTTATTCAATAAAAAGGAGTGAAGTATTGTACTGATAAATGCTGCAACATGAATGAACCTTGAAAACATGCTAAGTGAAAGAAGACAGATACAAAAGGTCACATATTTTATGGTTCCCTTTATGTGAAATGTCCAGAATAGACAAAACTGCATAAAAAGCAGATTAGTGGTTGCCAAGGGCTGAAGGGAATGTGAAGTGAGTGCTAAGGGGTATGGGATTTCTTTCTGGGATGATGAAATTGCTCTGGAATTAGATAGCAGTGAATATACTAAAAATCAATAAACTGCACTTTAAAAGTGAATTTTATGGTACATGAATTATATCTGTAAAAAAAACGTAATGGAAAAGAATGGTTTTTAAACACCAAAATTACTGAAATCTTTTTAACCATACATATTTGGGTCTGACATATTCATGTTTTTTTTAATCCCTAAAGTGAAATGGTCTCATTTGCAACCATTTTGGCTATATTTTTTTCAACCACTGAACATATTGTAATACAACAAATATTTATTTTAAAAGGTGATGATGAAGATGATGCAGAAGATGAAATTAACATTGATAACATAACTAACTCAGATGGACCATCTGCAAAACGTCCAAAACCACCACCTTAACAGATTTTATAAAAGTTAAGACTGCTACTATATCTTAGTTATCATGCACTGATATCTACACTCTAATTTGGAAAGCATTTGTTCTCTTGGAACAATTTTGTCAAACTTTTTTTATTTCCAGCAGAAAAGATATAATAACTGTGGAGAAATGAGTGTTTTCTTGAGTGAGAAATGAATTTCAGACCTTGGAAATAAAATAGAACACAATAATGTGTAAAAGGCCTCCGAGTTGGCGACGTGAATTTTAATTGTTTTCTACTTTTTAAGTAGCAATTGAATAAAATTGTGTGATGTCTACATTTTTTAGCTTCTGTTTCTGTTATAGAAAGCACATGTCAAAGTTCACAGGCAATAACGTTTCAAAGAACTGACATGAGCAAGTGGTGAAAACTGGTATTAACCTGAAGAACGTTAGTTCTGTGTAAGAAGGAAAGCGGAAATGGAGAGATAACTGAAGAGAAAGAGCCATTGAGAAAGACTCAAGGAAAACTTTGAACCACACTCACAGCTGATATATGGACATTGAGAGATGATATCACTCGATTAATATATATTTAACTTGTACTTTAAGAGACCCAAATGGGGTGTGCTTTTATGTTATGTTTTTTATAAACACAAATGTAAGTTTTTAAGTAAACAATTTATATTGGCTCTTCAGTATTTTCTCTCATCCTGTAGCCATACTTTGATTTTGCTTAAGAAAGAACTATTGAATTCTTTAAATATATATATATATGTGTGTGTGTGTGTGTGTGTGTGTGTGTGTGTGTATACACATTCCTAAAATGTCTGTGTGTGTATTCCTTTTCTGCTTGTCAGTGGGACTAAGGCGTTTTATAATTTACTCTCCTGTGCATGTTTCCTGATCGGTTTAGATAGCTAAGACAAAGAAATAAAGTAGCATGTACCTAATGAAATGCAAATAGAATTTTAGAGCTAGAAGTAACATTACAGATGATATGCTTTATTTCAGAGACAAATTGAATCTTAAATAGGTGTTTGCCCCGAGTTACAGAGCTAACTGCTGGCGGAGCTGGATTATACACATAACCTTTAAAAAATTACCCTAACACTTTCCCAGCTACACATTCTGAAATTTATAGTATGCCAAGTACATGCTATTAAGGAAACTGAATTTGCACATCTTTTCATAACTCAAGTATTATTTCCCTTGGAACACTAGCCTTCCACTAAGTGCTCCTGTGTAACCAGACAATACCAACCAGATAAAGTTCTATACATCTTCAGAAATTACCTTGTTTGTGATAATGGCTCTAATATTGGACTTCAGTTACTAATTTCTTATCTTTTTATGCAATCCTTTAAAAAATAACTGTATAATTAAAATAGTTCATATTTTTAAAAGTTAGCTAAACTTTGCTTCTGACTATTGTTTCCTTTGTTGTTTAGTAAATATGAAGAAGAACTGACATGAAATTTATAAGAAAGAAATTTCAAGATATTTATGCTTCTTGTTCAGTGTTTTTGAGGTCTGGGCTATAGGTTTGGTTGATCTTTAACTCAATTTTAATACTGATTCTAGTTCTAATGCTGTCATCTTCATAAGTGAGCCACGTGCGTGTGTGCAAAAAAGATCAGTTTGAAAGACCAGTATAGAGGAAATGCCTTGCCTGGTTTTCTAATCTGGTGCCTTCTAAGGATACAAACATTAGCCACAGGCAAGCAGAACCCAGTTTATCTCTGAAACAGCTCCAACTTTACCCTTCTACAGGAGAGTCAGCCTCACAGTCCTACCTAAAAATAAACTTGACACCAGACTTTGATAAATAATCTTCTAAAATGTGAAACAGGGAGTTTAAAAGGTGAAGTATATGGACATAGGCAAGATAAATATCTTCCCTAAAGTTAAATGGTTTTTGTGTACTTTAAGTAGATTAAGAAATACTTGTTTTGATAGAGTTCTGTGGCCAAAGACAAGACCTTTTACAATAGATTGCTGTTGGTTGGCTGCAATATTAGTAAGTTTGAACATTAAAAAAAATAATAACCTGGGAAGAAAAATCTACTTTGAAAAAAATAGGGAAAAAGTGAGAGGAGCTTAGTTTTCCCCCTCAGTGTAGAGGTAGTGTTCACACTCAGAGGATTTGTGCTTCTGCAACTAGTTGCCTTTCAAATCCTGAGCCAAGTGACCTCCTTTGCCTGTCTAGCTCTTCTTATCCTTTAAATTTCAATTTAAACATGTATTTGAGAACTTTCCTGGCTTCATAGACAATGTTTGGACCTCATGCTGTATGTTTCTGTGGCTCTTCCCCCCCAGTATTTCCCTCACATATTATGAAATGTACTTTATTAGAATTATTTCTTCAGCTTCTCAGGGTTTTTATTTTTTAACTTTTATTGAGAATTCTTGTACCTTTAAAGGAAATAGTCTTTCTTCCAAATGAAAAAATCAGTTGGAGATATCTGTGGCCCTCAGTTTATTATGCAGTACTTTTAGCTGGTTCCTATTTAGCCTATTAAAGATGCACCTATTTCTCAGTGGAATTGTTCAATCAATGGATTGAACAATTATGCATTATATATGTAATGTATATAATGATATACGTATTATAATGTATGTAATACAGAAAGATTCATAAGACATTCTGAAAACCTAGGCTTTTTAATTCAATTGTTAACAACTATGTTGTGATAAATGTTCCCAAGAAGTTCCTGTTTGACCTTAACTCTTGTAGTTGAGCACCACAAAGTTCAAAACTATTACCATAAATGTAGCTGGTGATGGTTACAAATAAAATTAACATGGGGAAATTAATTGCAGTCATTTTGTGATAACCATTTCTTAACTTTAGAAGTATATAGTAAGAGTAGAGTGTAAAATTCTTGTGGAAATTAGAGAATATTTGTAAAATAACACTCATTTTAAGCATGAGAAACAAATTGATTTTGTGGTGAAGCTGGGTTCTTTTCTCAGTACCTAGAGCATAATTTCAGTAGATATAGATACATAGAATAAAAAACAACTATAAAAGTACTAAAAGAAAATGAGTAATAGTTTTTATAGTCTCAGAGCGAGAAAGGTTCCCTAAACAAGATTTTTTTTAATCCAGAAACTGTAATAGTAAAGATTAGTAAATGCAATTACATAACAAAATTTTCTGAACATTCTGTAAATAAGTTTAAAAGACAATGAGGGAAGTATTAATATTTTCAACACAAATGACTAAGAACTAATTCCTTTGATAAATCTCATGTGTATCAGTCAGAGAAGGATTGTAGAAATAGAGAACTGAAAGAAACAGCAAGAACACAAGAAAATACATGTGGCTTTTAAGTGAAAAAGCCTTTTCAAATAAATGAAAATTAAAACCACAATGTGATAGAATGTTTTATTTTTCAGACTGAAGTACCAAAAGTTTGGTGCAATATTAAGCTGGAAAGGATGTGAGGTCTATAATATATTGATGGTGAGAGTAAATTGGTATAAGCTCTTGGAAAGTCAAGTTGATTCTAAGTGTTAAATGTACATGCAGTTTCACTTACAGAAATCATTCCTACAGATAATAGTACATGTGCATGACTTTGCAAAACTATTCATTGCAGCATTATTTTCAGTAACAAAAGACTAAATAACATAAATGATCACCAGCAGAAGACCCTAGTAAATTAAATAAACATAGAAGAACATTAGTACAATATTTTTGTGTAATGAGGCCGCCCTGGGTGGCAGCCAAAAGTAAGAGACTCACCAGGGACCACGAGCTCACCAGCATACCTCATTATCAAGGGAAAAATGTGGCCTTTGAGAAATGCAAGTTCTTGAAAATTTAAAGAATGTATCCATGAAACAAATGAACACACTCTTCCCAAATGTAGAGAAACATTGCCGGACAACTTAAACCAAGTTCCCCAGAGATTGCAAGCAGCTACTGACTTCAGTCTGTAGACTCCAACAGAGAGCAGGAATGAAAAAAGACTCATAATGACCACTTAATAGCTAGTGAGAAACAGCATGTAATCCAGTGGGAGGATTTCATGAAAGAACACAACAGGCTGCAGTAGATGAAGAACACAGAAAAGCAATGGAGAGGCTTAAGGAATGATATGTCAAGATGGAGAATGACCTAGCAAAGTTTTCAATCTTTTAAGAACTTGAACCACAATAATGACAAAATAACAAGAAAACATTGATTTCCCCATAAAAGACTATTTTCACCAAACCATTTAACCTGTAGTTCATGTTTAGCAATAAGTTCAGTGGCACTCTTACATGAGAAGAAAGAGTCTTGTACTGGAGTCTAACCTAAATGTTTAATAGAGGAAGAGTGCTGCATCTTTCCAGTTTAAGAGCCTATATGTGATTATTTGATTGAGGAGGAGTAGAGGAAAAGGAATGAATTTACTCTTTGTTATTCAGAATTGCTCATCTTCTTTATTGATTATCTCAGAGAACTGTAAGTATCAACTTAGAAAAAATTATTTAATGCATTCTTATACAGAGCTAATATTAGTTTATTACTGTGGCTTAGAAGGCACACATAATAACTGCCTGTCATAACCTCCTTGGCTATTGGAGGAATATATAAAGTATTATTCCATGAATGATATAGACAAAAGCAACTGACCTTGGAGCAGCGATCACATTTAAGAGAGGCGAGAGTTTCAAAACTTTGTACAGTAGCAAAGATGGCCATGTTAGTCTCTGAACTGCCTGTTGGGACAGGTTACAGATACTGCAGTGCAGCATTGTGCATTTCACTGGATGACAGGACACACTTGTTAAGTTTTTTGGCCTTCCAACACTTAATATTTTCAGCTTTTAAAACATGCTTAGAAGGAAAAGGTTACCAAAAATAGATTTGACTTTTGCCTTTCCAAGAACCATAATCTTGCCCATAGTATTTACCTCATTTTTGTGTCTGTTTTGCTGTGGGTAAGCTTTGTAAGATAAATAATGTCTATACATGTTTCAACTGTTTAATGAGTAATCAGCAAAATCTGCCAAAGAGTCCCTCTGGAACCATATAAAGATTCTGGCCTTGAATAAACCAGAAGTGTTTGCCCATATGGCAAATGATCCATGTTAAATGTAAATCCATTTTAGTGTTTAATGTCTGTTGTCATAAGCACGTGCATTATGATGAAATATGTACCAATTCTGTCATCACTGTGGTCTTTAAAATCTGCATTTAACTAATTGAGGAATTAAGTTCACTTTTTATTTGCCCATAAACCAAGCAAAATCAAATGTAATATATTCATAAATGACATATCCAATAAGGGGTTGACATCCAAAATATATAAAGAGCTTATGCACCTTAACAAACAAAAAGCAAATAAGCCAATTAAAAAATGGGAAGACGATCTGAACAGATACTTCTCCAAAGAAAAAATTCAGATGGCCAATAGGCACATGAAAAGATGCTCCACATCACTAATCATCAGCAAAATGCAAATTAAAACCACAATGAGCTATCACCTCACACCAGTTAGGATGCCCACCATCCAAAAGACAACAACAAAAAATGTTGGCAAGGATGTGGAGAAAGGGGAACCCTTCTACACTGCTGGTGGGAATGTAAATTAGTTCAACCATTGTGGAAAAGCAGTATGGAGGTTCCTCCAAAAACTGAAAATAGAAATACCATTTGACCCAGGAATTCCACTCCTAGGAATTTACCCTAAGAATGCAGGAGCCCAGTTTGAAAAAGACATATGCACCCCTATGTTTATCACAGCACTATTTACAGTAGCCAAGAAATGGAAGCAACCTAATTATCCATCAGTAGATGAATGGATAAAGAAGATGTGGTATATATACACAATGGAATATTATTTAGTCATAAGAAAACAAATACTATCATTTGCAACAACATGGATGGAGCTAGAGGGTATTATGCTTAGTGCAATAAGCCAGGTGGAGAAAGACAAGTATCAAATGATTTTGCTCATCCGTGGAGTATAAGAACAAAGAAAAAACTGAAGGAACAAAACAGCAGCAGACTCACAGAACCCAAGAATGGACTAACAGTTACCAAAGGGAAGGGGACTGGGGAGGATGGGTGGGAAGGGAGGGATAAGGGGAAAAAGGGGCATTACAATTAGCACACATAACGTGGTGGGGGGTGCACACAGGGAAAGCAGTATTACACAGAGAAGACAAGTAATGATTTTATAGCATCTTAGTACACTGATAGACAGTGACTGTAATGGGGTATGTGGTGGGGACTTGATAATGGGGGGAGTCTAGTAATCATAATGTTGCTCATGTAATTGTATATTAATGATACCAAAATAAAAAAAATTAAATGTAATAATTTCAAGAGTTTATGGCAAATGAATTTGAGGTATGGGTAAATATTTCAAATATTTTGATTGCTCTTTAATACAGAAAGGCACAAGAAAGAAAATTTCAATAATAATTTTGTGTAGCTATTAAAAAGACCAAGTTATAGCTGTATGTGTTGTTAAGGATGGATCTCTAGGATATGATGTTAAATGAAAAAACTAGCAAGAGATGGAACAGTATATAGAATGCTACTATTGGAGGATATTGGCTAGATATACATATAGTGTCTCTGAAAGGATAGTTAAACTGCTTCCTGAAAAGAGGGAGTTGTGGTTGGGAGTGAGAAGGAGATTTTTCATTATTCCCTTTTGTTCTCTCTGCATTAAAAAAAAATCTTATGTATTTTTCTACACAAATACAAAAAGTGTTATTGTAAAACTTCCAATTTTTAATTTTAAAAAGCCATGCTTTAAATGTAATAAGGGCACATTAGCCATATTAACAGTTTAAAACATTGACATGTAATTGAGGGCAAAAGTTAATCAATTTGAACTTAAAAAGCCAAAAGTCCACATTTCCCAGGTGACTACTACTATATCAGAAAAGGGAATAAAATTCAGCTTCTAAAAGGTTAGACGAGCTGGGCTAGTAAGTGTGAGGTAGGGTGCCATAAAAAAAAGAGACAGGTGTTTCTAAAACTGATGTGCCTAGCCTTAACCTTCAAAAAACTGCTCTCTAGCCAGTGCATTACTCTCAAAGTATAAAATGAATGTCACTGGATTGCTTGTAACTATTCCAGTTTTCAGGTGACCTTTGGATCACAGTTGCTCTATTTAAAGACATGGCACATGGAACAGTGAATGCTAGACAGTAAGGCACTATTTAAATCTTTTAAAAAGTAGCAGCTCACACTGCAACGGGGTATGGGTGGGGGGAACGACTTGACAATAAGGGTGAATGTAATAACCACATTGTTTTTCTTGTGAAACCTTCATGCGAGTATATATCAATGATACCTTAATTTAAAAAAAAAAAAAGCAGCTCACATTGGGGCAGTACCAAGGCCACTGGGGTACAGTTTTAAATAGAAGTTTACTCATAATACCAGAAAATTCTGGGGATAGAAATAATGTGTAGAAACACATTGCTAGCTTAAATGAGTTCTTTTGGGGGCCAAGGTATTGCTTTGGACACCAGAAATTGTGTGCT